AGGCCAACGACAAGGGAATCCTCAAGATTAAGAGCCTGTTTGGTAGGGATTTTTGGGGGAAGAATTGATTTTGAATAGTGATATGATGGGAAATGTGTGGTTGAAAAAGAAGAAAAAATGATTGATGTGATATAAAATATTATTTTATTGAAATATGTGTGGTTGAAAATGAGAATTGATTTACTGTAGAAAAATCTAATCCCTCCCAAACAGGGCCTTAGTTACCTTTAAGTTAGGGATTAATTACGAAGCTTTTGATAATTTAGTGTTATAAATATTAATATGTTATAAAAAGAGATAAAAATATAAGAGAATAAGTAAATTTGTGTATATTATAATGAGAACCAAAGCACTATGTTTATAGGGAATGAATAGAGATACATATTGTAATAATTTCTAGGGTTGCAGGGGTACAAGTGTTATTCACATTAAACTCTAATTTACTTTCCTTTTACAACACTCCACATTGAATGACACATTAAAGGATAAGTTAATGCTCCAATTGTACTAGGGCTGCAGGGGTCGAGTGCAATTTGTTAGATAAGTTAATGCTCCAATTGTACTAAAATATAGTACTTCAGGACCAAGAATATTTTCTCCGTCTTCAAGAGGACGAAAAGAATCCTTTTTTTACATCAAGTGATCGAACAACCATAGGTGATGCCAATGGATGTGCATTATCCATATAAAATCGTTTTAAGACTTTTTCTATATATGTAGATTAATGAATAAATAATCTTTTAGGAAAATGTTCAATTTGCAGCCCGAGAGGATTTTCCTAAATCTTTCATCTCAAATTCATTTTTCAAATAATTTGCAGTTTTGTTGAATTCTTCAGAAGTTCCAATTAAATTTAAGTCATCAACATAAACTGTCACAGTTTCAAATCCAATATATATTTTCTTTATGAAAACACATGGACAGATATCATCATTTTTATAGTCTTCTTTCAACAAATATTCGCTAAGGCGATTACACCATATGCGTCCGAATTGTTTCAATTCATATAATAATCTTTACAATTTAATTGAGAACATGGTTCTCGAGTATGTATCATTTGTTTCTCGCACTTTAAGTCTTTCAAGGATTTTCATAAATATGTCACTATCAAGTGAACCACACAAATAGGCAGTCACTACATCCATAAACACATCTCGAGCTTTTGTAACACAATCAAACTAATTAAAAATCTAAAAGTGATGATATCCATTACGGAAGAATATGGTTCCTCATAATCAATTTTTGGTCTCTGTGAGAAACCTTGAGCTATGAGTCGGACCTTGTATCTTGTAATTTCATTATTTTCATTTCTCTTTCGCACAAACTCATTTGTATCCAACATGGATTACATTTTCAGGTGTTCGAACTATAAGTCCAAACATTTTTCGTTTCTCCAAGGAATTCAATTCCACCTGTATGGCTTCTTTCTATTTTGGTCAATCATTTCTATTTTAACAGTCTTTTTAAGAGACAGTGGTTCACGATCCTCATTTTACATAATATCAAGAGCCACGTTAAATGCGAAAATATTGTTTATAACAACATTATTTCGCTCTAATAATTTATGAGATAACATATAATTTATTGAAATCTCATTATTTTTGAACACTTGTGATTCTTCAGAAACCATATTTTCAATATTTGATTGATCAATTTTTTCTAATGTTACTTCTTCTGAAATTTTTGGTTGGTTTTTCTCTTATACTTTTCTTTTTTGAGGTACAGAGTCTTTTGAACCAACTAGTCGACCACGCTTCTAGCGTAATTGAGATTCATTTGCTACAGTAAATTGTCGTGCAGGGACATCAATTTTTGTTGGAATATTTTCTACTGGTATATATGACTTTGTCACTTTTTTGTGTCAACAAATGCATCTGATAATTGATTTGCAACTCTTTGCAAATGAATGATTTTTTCAATCTCTTCCTCACATTGATTGCTGCGGGAATCAAAGTGAGATAAAGTTGTTTCATTCCAAGAAATTTTACCTTGTTTATCGGATGTAGTTTTTCCCTTCCTAAAATTAGGAAAGTCATTTCATCAAAATGACAATTTGCAAAATGTGTAGTAAATAAATCACCTATAAAATGTTCGAGATATCTAATAATAGATGATGAATCAAAACCCACATAGATTCCAAGTTTTCGTTGGGGACCCATTTTAGTCAGTTGTAGGGGTGAAATAGGGACTTGAACAGCACAACCAAAAATCTGCATGTAAGAAATATTAGGTTCATAATCAAATGCTAGTTGCAAAGGTGAATATTGATAATATACAGTTGGTCTGATACGAACCAATGACGTAGCATGTAATATGGCATGACCCCAAACAGAAGTTGGGAGTTTTGTTTTCATAAGTAATAGTCTAGTAATAAGTTGTAGACGTTTAATAAATGACTCTTCTAAACTATTTTGTGTATGGACATCCGCGACCGAATGTTCATCCCAATTGACATGCAATAATTATTGAATGCTTGTGATCTAAATTCACCAGCATTGTCAAGACGAATAGTCTTGATTGAGTAATCGAGAAATTGCGCACGTAATTTTATAGTTTGAGCAAATAGTCTAATAAAAGCTACATTCTTAGTAGAAAGTAGGCAAACATGTAACCATCTAATAAAAGAATTAATTAATACCATAAAATAACGAAATGGTCCACTTGCTTTGTGAACAAGCCACACATGGATAATCATTAGGTAAAAAAATCTTCTGGTTCTTTAAAGATATCCATGTAAGTTATTTATTATTCGACGCATCATTATAGCTCCGGATGTCCAAATCGATCATGCCAAAGTATAAAATTTTTTGGATCAACGAACTTCTGGTTCATGATAATATTTAATTCGACCATCTTTATAAATGTATAATACATGCCAGATGAGAATACATAAAATTTTTCTTTTATCTGCTTTAGACCAGATACAAAAAAAGTTGTGCAAAAATATTCAACATTATTTTCTTACATCGTTTCAATGTGATATTCATTGCAACAGATATCTTTAAAACTAAGCAAATTTCTTCTGAATTTGCTTGAATAAAGTACAATAATACAAGCTCTTCCGGTGCCTTCAACGATATTCGATACACTTGATATTGTATTAACATTATTTCCTGCTAATATTAAGTTCATAAAAGAGCTTTTTCTTGAAGAATAGTGTGCATATTTGCATTATCAACTAAACGATATCTTGCCAATTCATCTCAAATTTTGTCATATTTATTATTTGAGTAACTACACCATAAAATAAAATACAATTAATCTCGAAAAATATGATTAAATATCACACAATAATTGATCAAGTAATTAATATCAATATGACATAAGTTACATGTTTTCCTTAAAGGATAAACATTAATTTAAAATAATATATTTTTTTCAAAACATGTGATATTTCGGGAGCACGTTGTATTTTACTATTACTTCTTTAATAGCAATATATCAATATTCTCTTAGAAATTATAATTTATGCTCTTCAGGAGCAAGTTATATTCTTCGAGAATATTAATTATAATGTTGTGTTATTTCAGGAGCAACAACAAACTATTTATAATAGATAGATTTTCGATTAATATTCTTTTGAAATATTAATTATAATATTGTGTTGAAAACAACAACAAAATATTCTTCAAGAATATTTATAGATATTATGAAATTGCAAATAACTCAAATTTAAAATTGTACTTTACAGTAAAAAGAATCAACCAATAAATATATCAAGGTTTAATTAAAACCATATAATATTAATCCACATAAAGGTATACAAAGTAAAATCACAATCATAATTGCATTGAATATTATCGAATAAAAAGATAGCTAATTAAGATTAGTGAATAATTAGCATGTAATTACAATAAATAATTAGGCATAATTACTATATATACAACAACTAGAATAGAAAGATGAATATGTAATGATATTACAAAAATTATGCAAGATTAAAAATTCGGCAAAAAACGAAAATTTGGTGGCAAAATGAAACTCGTGGCAATACAAAACCAATTAACATGAGGCACATAATGAAACTAATTAACATAAACCAGTTAATATAAACCAATTCACGTACGGCACATAATGAAACCAATTAATATATATATAAAGGATTCACATGTCACCAAATTAATTTTGGTACACGTGATAGATGATCATGTTTAAAAAGAAATTACCATCTTTACTAAACTTTGAAAAATTAAGGTTCCGTGCTAATAACGTGTTATAAAAAGAGAGAAAAATATAAGAGAATAAGAGAAGTCAGTAAACTTGTGTATATTATAATGAGAACTAAAGTCCTATATTTATAGGAAATGAATAAGGATACATATGGTAATAATTTCTAGGGTTGTAGGAGTACAAGTGTCATTCACATTAAACCCTAAATTACTTTCTTTTTACAACAGAATATATATTTTATATTTTTAAAAATCTAAGTAACACCTGATTTTTGAAAATAAATCTTAATGACATGATTAATGATGATCAAACTTAAAATACACAATTTTACTTAATTTCCTCTTTTATGTAATTGACATATGCAATTGGATCATTTAATTTTAGTCTGGGCCTCCTCTCACGGATGAGAATCAACTAAGCATAGTTTTTCTAGGTCAGTGAGTATATATAGAAAAGGAAACAAATGGAACGAGTGTGAAATTTTCCAGGATGGATCAAAACCGTTGGAAACAAATTCTAATCCCTTTAGAAGGTTACTCTAACTAGTATATACTCACATTTAGGCTTCATATGGACGCACATCCTTCACTCAATCTCTCATCCTACCATATTGTTTAGTTTCTACACACAGTTCTCGAACTTTTGCTTCGTACTTTTGCCATTCTGTTCAAGATTCTGAGGATATCTGATTTTTACCTTGAAAGCCCTTGCCCTTCATCTGAATTCATATTTCTCTCTTAAGCATAATCCATTGTCTGGAATAGAGATTTTGTTAGAGAAAATGGGTGATGATCAGGTGTTTGAAGCGATGGAACCAATGGATTTTGACAAGCACCCATCAGGAATCGTCCCAATTATTCAGAATATTGTTTCGTCTGTCAATTTGGATTGTAAGTTGAATCTTCGAGAAATAGCACAGAAAGCGCGCAACACGGAATATAATCCTAACCGTTTTACGGCAGTGATGATGAGGATCAAAGAACCCAAAACAACAGCATTGATTTTCGCTTCCGGGAAGATGATTTGCACAGGGGCCAAAACCGAGCAACAATCCAAACTTGCCGCCAAGAAGTATGCCCGAATCATCAAAAAGCTCGGTTTCCCAGCAAAATTCAAGAATTTCAAAATTCAAAACATCGTGGGTTCTTGCGATGTCAAGTTCGGAATCAGACTTGAGTTGTTGGCAGTGAGTACCCACGGAGTCTTTGCAAGCTATGAACCAGAACTATTTCCAGGCCTGATATACAGAATGAAGAGTCCCAAGACTGTGCTTCTGGTTTTTGCATCCGGAAAGATAGTCATCGCAGGAGCAAAGGTAAAAGATGATGTTTATGCAGCTTTTGAGAACTTATTCCCTGTGCTCACTCAATACAGGAGAAAGTAGAGATGATTTTCCATCAAGAAGCGTGGAAGAAATAGCAAACCAGTTGGATATTTGGAAGAATTTTAGGAATTTTTTTTTTTTCTTACAATATTAATGTAATCTTTGTATTACATAGATCCCAATTATGGGACATAGTAATATAATAGGAATATTTGTTTTTCTTTTTTTCTTCAATCATGTATCAGATCAGTTCATAATTCTTACGAGTTGTGAAATTTATTTTCCTTTTCTTCTTGATTATAGTTGAAATGGTTGTAAACTAGGAAAACCCTAGACAATAATTTTTATTATATTTTTCATAAACTTTGATCCAAGATACTTACCAGCTAATTAGATTCACGTTATAATATAATTAATCATACAACAGGATTGCAGGATTACTTTCAAAGTGTGATCAAACTTTAAATCTTGAATTCTTTATTTGGATGACAAAAGGATTACGGGATTACTTCTCTATAAGTAAATTTTTCAATAGTAAGAATTTGTGAATATGACTGGAGAAGTGATCACGGAGAAGGCATCGCTCGAGCGCTTCAAATCATATCGTGGAATAAAGCGCATCACGAAGGTATGGAGAAAAAATTGAAGTCCATAAGGGATAAAATAGATCAATTGGAGATATAATGTTTTCAATATGGATGAAACATGATTATTTTTTAGACTACAACTAGATCATTCTTTTGAAACAAAGCGACTTGAAGAAAAGGAAAAAAACACGTCTTATTCAGCCAATTCCTGCATATGAGCCAAAGAATTTTAATAACATGATTTCGCTACTGCGGCTATTGACGCTCAACGATCAACGGTCAATAATCGCCCCTAACTCAGCAATTCCCAGATCCGTCGCTAAAGTAGACCCAAAACTTTTTAGTACTTTTTAATTAAACACTCTTCAAAAAATCATTTCCTATTTTACTGGTAGCAAACGGGGGCTAAATTTTATTTGTTGACACATCAAGAACTCCAATATTTTGAAATAGAACAAGAAAAAATAAAGAGAACAAAATTTCTGTCTCTGGTATTTATAGGATGCCGATTTTGGCCATGGTGGTAGGGGTTTCTGGTGGTGGTGCAGTGGTGGTTGGAGATTTAAATTGTTTGGCATGGTCCACGCTGTGCGTGAGGGGGCGTATTAGAATCCCACATTGTTTGGGAAAATATAAATGATCCACTTAATAAGGTGAGGGCAATCCTCCCCTAATAAGCCGGTTTTATTAGGTGAAGTTAGACTCAATATTCCTAACATGCGACTTGAAGAAAAAAAAACACGTCTTATTCAGCCAATTCCTGCATATGAGCGGAAGAATTTTAATAACATGATGAAAAATCAAGAAATTTGGGTAATAACATGATTTCGCTATTGCGACTATTGACGATCGACAATCAACGGTGTTGATTAAACATTCTTCAAAAATTCATTATCCCAAAACTCACTTCCTACTTTAATGGTAGACAAACATGGGCTAAATTTTAATTGATGTGTGGACACATCAAGAACTCCAATATTTTGAAATAGAACAAGAAAAAATAAAGAGAGTAAAATTTCTCTCTGGGGCTAGGTCTTGATTCCTTGTTTTAAAGAGAACTGCCTTAGGAAGACTATTACTCTTTATTCTATGTTTCTCTCCCGTTTTGCCTTTTGTTTATGTTGCATATAGACATTCTTGTACGACTGCTTGTCTACGTTGTTAAATGACATTATTTTTGCTATATATTATAGAGAGCTTTTATGGAATATTGTGAATTACAAACCATGCTTCGAAAATTACAGAAAATGAGGAACTTAATCTTTTTACTTTGGCAGATATTTAGCAATAAAAAATACGAGTGTGTGTTGCTCGAAGCAATCGTGAATAATAAAGAATACAAGAATTTTCATTGCCTGCTTCGGAGTTTCACCTCCATATATTCCAATGAAACAAAGAATATTTACTTTCACAACAAAATAATTCACCCTGCAATTTTAATACTTTATTGGATGATATACTTCATATTATGCGTGCAAAAGTATTCATAAAAATATTATAAATTCTCATACTTGCCTATTAATTCTTAACATCGTAAATATTCAAAGACTTTCGATAATATTATTATGAGTGTTTTTCTCGAGAGTCTTTCACTTTACATTAACTCAGTAACACCAAGACGAAAATTTCATTTGATTTTTTTAACAAATAGATATAAGTTTTATTTCATTTTTTTACGTTAGTCTCCCAACACTTCGAGATCAATCTTTGAGGTAAAACAACGATTTTAATAATAATAATAATAATAATAATAAATTTATCGACATACTAATTCAAAAAATAAAGAAAATGTTATTCATGAATTATAAGATCCTAATATTATTAATGGGAATCAAAGTACAACAAAGTCAGGATGGCCGAGTGGTCTAAGGCGCCAGACTCAAGTTCTGGTCCTCGTGAGAGGGCGTGGGTTCAAATCCCACTTCTGACATTTTCACTATGTTTTCTTTTTTTTTTTAATTCCTTTTCTCTTTCTTTTTTCCCCCTCATTGAATCATCGTTTCAGTAGCATTGCAAAAGGAATCCAGCTACAATGGCCGCTCGTTCTCTCTTCCTCACTCTCACTCGGTGCTGCTCCCACCCCACAAATCATAAGTGTGTATATACTTCTGGACTCTTTACATGTCGAGTTATCTTTGTTTTTGTGTATAAATGCACACAGGGAGGATAAAAGTGCATTCCGATTATCGTTTTCAATAAATCAAGTTTCCCATCAAATTCAAGAACCCTCCACCACAATCCATGATGAAGAAGGGTAGAAAGATGATTTGAAGTGCAGAATTTTCAGATACAGACTCCCTAAGAGGAGCGCCACCAATATTTTACAGAAATGGATTGACGAAGGCAACAAAATCACCATCTCTGATGTCCGAAGCATCTCCAAAGACCTGAGAAAATCCCACCGTTACAAACACGCCCTCGAGGTTATGATCTAGTGTTTTGTTATTCAATTGTCCAGAAAATTAACTAGATTAAAATATATACATTTTCTTTCTTTTTAAAATTTATTAAGTTTCTTAATTTTTTTTATTGGACTTGCAGAGGGTATAAATTAATATGACTATTATATGGTTATGCAATGCTTTGTTTCTTGGAGAGGTATTGAATATGCATTGGCAAGTTTTGTGCATGATTTGCAGGTTGAATTGAAATTATGACATAGTTGTAAATCTCTATTGTGGGTATTGGGTATTTGTTAATAGTCATAGAACTGAGACAAGAACACTCAAGTAATTCATTATTCAATAGCAAAGAAATTTGCAGTTTAAGTTATCGGAATATGTTAAGAATTCAAGCAAAGAAAAGGTTATCGTGATGAGTTCTCTTGTGTGTAGAACAAACTTGGTTTTATTGATTCTTGATGTAGTGATAGCTCTGGATCAAATAGAGCGGCAAAAAGGGCTTCATATATTCACCGAGTTTATTAGGTATAATGTTTAACTTCTAGTGCAAGATGTGTTCGGCAACATTTGCACAGTTTGATCTGGTGGTTTGTGCAATGGTCTAATCCATAGCTGCCTACCATGGAATTACATTGTCTCAGCCTGTTCAGGTTGATTGCCTTATGTATTTTTCTGTTTGTACCTTCATGGTAGCTGAATTAACTCATTTTTAGTTGCTTCATCATAAATTTTAACTTCAAAAGAAAAATTTAGTGCCGAGGAGGAAGATTATTCTTTAGCAATCTCAGTAAGTACTTACACAGAAATTCACTATTTCTTGATTGGTATTCATTTTTTCTTTGGTGTATGCCCATTTTTGTTTTAAGTCAGTAATAGTAGTTCTGTAAGTAACTAGTAAGTTGTTTGAGGCGTAGAGTTCTATTACTATCAATGGGTGGCTCCGGCATTTCTTATGAGTACAGGCATCCCACATAATTCAATCTTGTGGTTCTTCATTATCTGCAACCACCGGTGCCAGTTTTAGGAGGTGTTGAATACTGGATTCTGACTAAAATAGAAAAGACATTTGACTTGATTGTTTTATGTTTGCATCTGGACGTTTTTAATTAGCCTTTTTTAACATTTGAAGGCTAAGAGTCTGGGGGCACATTTGGTACACTGTATTGTGAAAATTACAAGTAATTTTCACTTGTAAGTTAATTTTTTTAGTTAATTTTTTGAATGATTACCTCCCTTGGCAAAAACTAGTGAAACATACACAGCTCTCCTCCACTCTTATGCTAAGTTGAAACTAGTAGATAAGGCAGAAGATTTCTACGAAAGAATCAAGGAACCAAATCTTTCCTTGAGTGCCATCACTTACAATGAGCTAATGACCTTATACATGTCAGTGGGGCAACTCGAAAGGGAGAGCTTGATTGTCAAGGAACTAAAATTCCAGAACGTTGCACCTGATCTATATACCTACAAACTATGGGTAAGTTCATTGATGAGGCGAGAAGAACTCTCAGTGAGACGAGTCCAGATTCAGGCTTTAATGAAAGTTGGGTTAGATATAAGAAACTTTCTGACGTAAATATTATCTGAAGTCACCTTGTGCATTTAGAGTCCGACTCCCCAGTTGAAAGTGAGAAGGATGATCGTTTGATTTCTCGCGAGTGAAAGGACTTGTGAACAAGTAATAAAGTAGTAAATAGAGTGTCGAACCCATGAGGACTATGTACTTAATCTAGTGTCAATTAATTTCAACCTTAATTGAATAGCCAAATTGGTTTGCATATTTATACTAAGTGATCTAATTATATTAACTAAGCTATTTATGAAGGTTTTTGTTTATGCGAGATGAATGTTAAGACTTTGAATCCCCCTCGTTAATTCAAATATCATGACAATATGTACTTATTCATGTTGATCAATATTCCTAAATTAATTAAAAGCATCTCTTGATATCAATTAAATATATCACTTAATCTGACCTTCTTATATCTCTATGAATTCTTATATCTCTATAAAATATGCGAACATGAAAACACGCATTAAAAATTCTAGAACATCTATAGAAATTATGCGA